ACCCAGGAGGTGGATAGTGCAGGTTCCTCACCTTCTTATCATATCTAAAAGACAGGAGTTTTTTTGAAGCACCAGATGTTAGAAGATACTGCCTGAAACTATCAAAGAGACCAAGACTAGAGAGATGTGAGTAGGGCACCACGTGAGACACATGATGAACATCTTCTGGTTTACTATTCTTCCTACATGAGACAGAAGCAGCACTCCCAAATTAGCTTCAGTTTCTTCAAATGCACTTTCTTCCTGCCCAGCAGAAGACAGAATGGCTTCCCCGAGCTGGAGAACATGCTTGGGCCACGGCCTGATGCCTTCAAGCAGAGAATGAAGGAGTGGGAGAATTCTGCAGCTCAGCTCTTTTCTTTAGCTCCTTCCTTGTCCAGAGAATGGGGTAGGAATGGGATGGAGGGAAGGTGAGAAGGTGAAATTCACAGTGCAGAGTGGAAGATTGTGATCATGCATTTAAAGTCATATGCAATAGCAGTTCTGTCAACAAATCTTCCTATTACTATAATCTTATTTCCCACTAACTCTTGTTATTATAAGAAATTAATTTTCATCATACTCTCTAAGTGTATCTCCTTCACCCCTCCTTCAATATCAAATAGTTAATAATGTAACATAATAATATCGTATGTGCTTCAAACTATTTAACCATGCAAACACATATCCCACATATATCAGCTATGTTTTCTTTTTATTTCTGTTTATATTTTCACTCAATGTATATTTTAATGGGTATAATATAATAGTATGTTGTTAGAATGAGATTATGATTTTAATGTATTTATAATTACTCTGCCCTAGCACAACCAATTTCTTTTTTTCTGAGCATCCTTTTAGTTTTTATTAACATATATATAGTATCTATTTATCATCAGAGCATATAATTTTATGTTCTGCTTTTGTTATCATTTTTCTTATTGCTACCTATTTATCACTTATGGCTACTTAATGCACCATGCAATTTCTATACCCACATTTTCTTAGACGCTTTCCTGTTGGATACACAAATAGTTTCTATTATTCACTATTATAAATACAGATCGAGCAGCCCGAATCGGAAATCTAAAATGCTCCCAAATCCAAACCTTTTTGAGCACCCACATGGCACTCAAAGGAAATGCTCCCAGGAGCATTTCGCATTTTTGGGTTTTTGGGTTAGGAATGCCCAACAAGTGCAAATATTCCAAAATCTGAAAAAATCAGAAACCGGAAACACTTCCGATGCCAAGCATTTCAGATGAAGAATACTCAGTCTGTAATGTTACGGTGATCAGTTTCCTAGGAATGCCGTTTTTCTGACTTTAAATTATTTCCATGGACTAATTGGTGAGTGGGATTACTAGGTCCATAGATAGGAATATATTTAAGGACTCTTACTATAGATATGGGTCAGATTGGTTATTTGATGGGCTGTGCATATTTATAGGACCAGTAGAAAATATAAATTTATTAGTTCTTTTTGCAAGTCTCATCTTCACTTTTTATTCATTATAATTGCAGTTAATGTACATTGTACTTACTATTTGAGAATTAGTGTGGCTTAATTAGAAAAATCACTTACATATCAGACAAGCAGATTCAAATCCCAACTCAGGCCACTTCCTGTTGTATGTTAAGTGGACGAGCCTCTCACAAAACTAGTTTCTTTCAATGGCAAATTGGTAACAATGGTGTCTCCCTTACAAGATTGTTGAAACGATTTGGTGAATTAATCAATGCCTGGTGTGTTCATGGCCATACAGAAAATTATTACTCCTCCTCGCTATCTCTGCTTCTCTAATTTTATCTACCTCCCCTCCCACTCCTGACTTCTTCTTGCATGGATTATCCATTCGAGTTCTTTCGATACAAGGTTTTCTAGACTCCACTTTCTCATGCCAGAATTTATGTTAATAGGGGTCAATTATCAGTGTTCTCGAGAAACCTGATCTCTCGATAGCAAGTGCTGAATTAGGTTGCAAATCACTGAGGTCACTTCTGTTCACCCCGTGACTTTTCTTGTGTTCACCCAACCAAATGGGAAATACATTCAGAATTAATACATTTTCATAAATTGCTCATTTTTGAATGGTTTGTACAGTCCAATTTCTCGTTTAAACATCTTATCCAAGTTTCTGTCCATTAGGTTTCTCAGAGACTTTTTGACTTGTGTTTCTGCGTCTTTGTCTTGGTTTCAGATAATTCTTCAGTTTAATCTTCTATTTGTTGCATCCTACCCAAGGACAACAAGCTTAATTCTTGTGATAGCAAATGCAGTTTGTCAAGAAGTGCAAGACAAGATCATTGTTAGAAGTTACATCTCGGAATGGTACTGCCGTTTGGATCTTGTCTGTCTCATACCCAGTGTCTGTTTTCTAGGCATTATTACTCATTGTTGTCTGGAAATTGGTTTTTATCTTGAGGGAATTTGTAGCAGAAACTGCCTTTTAAAGCAATCACTCTTCTTTAAAGTCAAAAGTAATTTCTAATACATTATAAGGTGTCAGAAAGGCTGTACCAAGCATACAGTTTTTCAATTGGAAATGCATTAAAAATATCAAATTCTGTCCTCTTTCATGAGGGTGAGGCAATTTGGGGACTGCCAAAAGATTTTCTAGTCTCTTACCTTCATGATAAGATATTGAGCTGTGTAGGAAATATTCGAAGCAGTTCCACTTTAGGAGTTTAAAAGAAAAAATGGGAGGGAGGGAAGAGGAAGGGGAAAAATTCCTCTGCAATCTTCCCAGCTTCAGCAACTGTATTTCACAACTCTGGAGAATCCCAGAGGCTCCTTTAGATATTATTTCATATGAGCCTTCTCTCATTAAGTGTCATAGAGAAGATTTCTTCATTTTTGCATTATTAAGCCTGCTTTCCCCTCATATCGATGCCCACTATCGCTGTTTTCGCCTATTACAAATGAGTGCTAGCCTCTTTTTCTACCTAAATAGACAAGGCAGCTCTAACTTCTCATTGGCATCAAAGACCCTTGCCCCAGAAGCTACACCAGCAAAGTTACTAAAGTACGAAGGGTCTCAGAGGCGGAAATCACAGGGTTTGAGAGAAGCTCATATATAACAAGTATGCAGGGGAAATTTGAGGATCATACCCAGCTGGATTCAGACAGAATGATCAGGTTTTCTGTAGTTACTGGACAGTACAAAGTAGTCTGACATGTCTGCCATGTGTATTACAGAGAAGTCTATTATTGAAACTCACAAGGTGAAAAATGTGGACCTGATCACAGTTGAGTGTGTCTGCCCCATGCTTGCATTTATGACATTGGAAACAGGAAGGGTGAGATTGGAAACAGTCCATTTCTGCCCAGAGCCCACTCTGCAGCATGTAACAGCAAAGCACTCACTGTCAAGAAATCGTGTCTATCGTGGTCATACCACATTCATCATTGTGCCACACTTAACTTCTTCAAGAACGCTGGCATCATAGCTCTCCTTGTGTTGTAAGGGGGACTGGCCCCCAGTTTTAGCCTCTACTCCAAGTCTGCACAAATCACCCTGTGGTACTGGGCAAGCTCCTTAACCTCAGTTTCCCCTAGCACATGGTAGAGGCGAACTTACATTGCCCAACCTGCAGAGAGATTGTGAAACCAGAATGAGATAATGTGTGCAAAGGATTTTGGAACGAGTTTCAAATTCTGAAACTTCTTGGGGTGTATGCTTTCATTTGTGCTGTTAGTCTGATTTGCAGTCATTTCCATCTATAAAAGGATGTTTTGCCACATCATGCATGTAAGTTTGATTTTCCTCATCTCGTTATGAGCCCCCATTGGGGCAGCTTTCAGAACATGCCATTCCCCCTCACAGCCTCCTGCAGGGGAGCATGACAGCTAGATCTGTTTCTCCTCCCTCCCCATCCCATTTCCCTTTGTCTGTCCATCACTCTCCTACACTGCATATAAGACTCAGGTTAAAGACCCTCTGCTCTGTGACATCGCCTTCTTATCTCTCTGCACCTTGGACTGGCAGTGATTTAGCTTTCCTCATCCTAGATGGGAGTGATTGACATCTAACTTGGCCTCTTTCCCTCATTAGACTTGGCTTTTCGAGAAGAAGACCAAGCCTCTACTTAGTATTTTAACCCAATACCTGCTTTATATTATTTGCTTTGTAAATATTGATCGAAATGATGAGTGAATGTCAAATACTTGTTGCTATGAAATAAGTTGAATCGGTAAAGTGAGTGATTCTTAAATTACTTGCTATAAAACATTAGGGGGAACTCATACTATTTGTGTCTCTTTTTGTGCTGCTCTAACAAAATACCACAGACTGGGTAATTCACAATCAACAGACATGTATTGCCTTGTAATTCTGGGGGCTGGGAAGTCTAAGATCAAGGCACCCGTATCTGGCCTTCTTGCTGAGTCACCACAAAGCAGAAAAATGCGTGTCTTCACATGGCAGAAGGCAGAAAAGCAAAAGAGGAAAAGAGGGAGAAGGGAGATACTCAATGTTTTGTAACAGCATTCTCCCACCCATGAGGTCACAGCCCTCATAGCTTAATCACCTCTTAACGGTCCCACCTCTTACTACTGTGACACTGGCAATTACATTTCAGTATGAGTTTTGAAAAGGACAGTCGTTCTATATGAAACCATAGCAGCTTTGTATGAACCTAATAATATAAATATATGTATGTTATGTGTACATATTTTTGGGGGAAGCTTATGAAATACTGCCAATTATTGGAAGTTTCAAACTGAGGGCAGGTGACCATATGGCAGAAACCATAAGCTGAGGCATCTGTGTTGAAAAGGAGGTTACAGTGTCTCATTGTCTCCCCAGTAACTGCTGTGGATCGCTCCCTCGGTGGGACACCAACAGGTGTCATAGAATAAAAGAATTCCTTGATGAAGTATATTAGGAAATGCTGGGATAAATCTCCATTTTTGAAATCCATCATGTAATTAATATTCCATCTCACAATTCAGTGATCTGAGTGTACTACTTGTTCTTTTATCTTGTTTTAAACTTATCCCTTCCCTGTTTCATTTTTAGCTTTTGCTGTGGCGTGGCACCTGGTCTCTTTCTAGAAGGAAAGTTCAACAAACAGCACAGTTCTGGACACATTGTATTGGTTTGATGATCCTACCTGGAACAGGTATGTAAAACCTCCAATACATGCTTACTGACACTTTTGAATCATAACTACGGATGTATATTCATTCCAGTGGATTACTGAGAATGGAATATGGTCTGAAAAATTAAATTCGTGTGTCAGAGATGACTTTTGTCTTTTCTACTTAGAAGCATATGTTTATATTTTGGCGTCTACAACTCCTGAAGACTACTTCATTTTCTTGTTTATATGATATGGTTATATGATAAGCTCAAATTAAGATTATAGTCATTCAAAGAGAGAGGAGAAAGTCTACAGTTATATGGTTCTGAAAATAAGATTTATCTAAAAATCTATGGAAATCAAATGAATGAAATATGACTGGCACTCTGGTATAAGTATAGTATTTGTAGTCCAAAATTATTACAGAAAAATATCAACTTCTTTCCCCTCCCCAAATTAGTCCAGGCTTAGAGAAAATTGTGTAATAACTCACAGGATAAAAATGACTACATATGTGAATTAATTAACAGAATTAAATCAATTAATTGACTACTCGAACACTAAGATTTTGTGACAGTTACTCCCTTGGTGTATGCCAACATAAATATTACATAAAAACAAAACAGTATGGTGTTTGATAATATTAATGTTTAATGAATTCTCTTGAAGGGGATATTCTGAAAGTAGATTCTCACTGTATATAAATATGTCAGCCTGTAGCTTCTGTCTAATTCAGACTTACTTGGATGAGCACTGTTTGTGAGTATGTAACATAGACAGGTAGATAGATGGATAGATAGACAGATCAATAGAGACATAGGTATCTCACGACACCTATTACATAATATGTGTGTGTGTGTGTTTGTATATATAGTATGCAATGACTCAGGGATACTTTATTACAAGATGGCTTGCTTGTATGCAACTTTTAAAAATATTAGAAATATAGCAGGCTTGTTGAAATACTTGTACATATTTGGAAAAGTTTCCCATAAATTCTATTTTCAACAGGAAAACTATATAACAACTCACCTGCCTCTGCCTCCTCCCTCACCTCCATAGAAAGCATGTTGAAAATGAAGTTTGGGAAACTGGGAAGTAGCACAGAGGAGAATTAATCAGGTGTGAGCTCAAGACCTAGCTCTACTACTTAACAATGGCCTTGGGAAGGTTTCTGTACTTCCGTGGGAAACGTGTTGTTATTTAAATCTGAACAGAAGGGAGAGAGAGTGAGAGAGAGTAGAAAAATTCACCTCAAATTACAATGTCCCAAATGTACCAGGTCACGTTTATTCTTAGAGATGTATGAAGTAATTAACGGATGTGTTTCTAAGGTTTTCCAAAAAGGTTTACTTTTACATTCTGTGAGAGTCTGAAATCCGTGATTAGAGATCAATGGCCTTGATTTTAAGGCAGAAATTGCAACTGGTCATCTACTTGTCAGATCCACCTTAGTTCATTTATTTTATTATTTGTTTTGGGCCTACACAAATTTGTATGCATGATAACTAAGAAATTGCCAAACCAAAAAATCAGGACAGTTCACATAAAAATCTGGATTCCCAGTCTTCTCTTTCTCTGTAAATGATCAGAAATTCTTCATTTTAATTTCTACGTCTAACCCATCCAGTCCTTCACAGTTCACTCTGAGCCCGTAGGTCTCAACCCTCACTGTGAAGAGATACTGGTGCTCAGGCTTCACTGCAGAAAATTAAATCAACGCCTCTCAGGGTGGACCGCAGGCTTCAGAATTTTTAAAAGTTCCTCAAATTATTCCATGGTGCAGCCACTGCCCTAATACCTTCCCTTCTCTTCGTGTAAAAATATCCCCCAAGTCCAAGTCACATTCCTCACTTCCTCATCTCACCACTCTTCTCTGATAGTCCCTGAATTATCTTATTTCTCTTCTTGTCCTATTCAATCCATGCTTCATCCAATAGCCAGAGTAATTGTCTTTATAGAAAATACCTGGTTGACTGCTGCTTCACCATCTTCAATAATAATAGTAATAATAATAATTAAGGGTGATCATTTATACTTAGGTTGAATGAAGAATCTGACTTTAGTCTTTGTTGAAGGATTGAGTCATTGAAACATTAAATTTTGGAAGCAAATGGATGAAGACTACAAAAGCTGTAGCAGTACCTTCTGCTTGGTCTTCTCCTCCCAGAAGTGACCCATAGTGATCCTTAGGCCAAAAGTCATTCACAAGTATAGAAATGGCATACATTGCTTACCTGTCCCACAGATTGCCACCCAATCAGGGTCCTGACTGCACCTTACAGAGGATCAAAGGGATGTTGTAATTTGGTAGTGACACTACGATAAGATTAACTTGATGTCACAGCTACCAAAGTGTATTAAATGTCTCTCCTTCCTAAGTTGCATGGTCACCCAACAAAATTTGATATGGGTGAATTTTTAGGCAGAATAACAGAATTTGTTGTGCGTGTATGTGGTTGGAGTGCTTAAGCTGAGGTCTTTTCTCCTACTGCTCAGACATGTAGATGACCTTCTTTCCCACTAATAAATAACATTTTATTTGAACTGTGGAGAAGACCTTTTTTTTCTCCTAAGTGACATTATAAACCATTTGTATTTGTTTGTTTTCATGCTGCTGATTAAGACATACCCAAGAGTGGGAAGAAAAAGGGGTTTAATTGGACTTACAGTTCCACATGGCTGGGGAGGCCTCAAATCATGGCGGGAGGTGAAAGGCACTTCTTACATGGCAGCAGCCAGAGAAAAATGAGGAAGAAGCAATAGCAGAAACGCTTGATAAACACATCAGATCTTCTGAGACTTATTCACTGTCACAAGAATAGCACGGGAATGACCGGCCGCCATGATTCCATTCCCTCCCCCTGGGTCCCTCCCACAACACGTGGGAATTCTGGGAGATATGATTCAAATTGTGATTTGAGTGGGGACACAGCCAAACCACATCACTATTGTTTTAGCCACTGAAATCTTTCCTGTAGACCCTTATGCGTGTGGTTACATTTCCCATCGGAAGGGAAGAAGATGGGGTGTCATAAGAAAGTTTTCTTCAGAAAAGATACCTTTGGAGGTATTTTAATTGGGATTTATAAAGAAATTGATAAATTCAAACCACATTGAAGCTAAGTGGAAATTTGGTTCTGTGCCAACATTCCTGGTGCATGGCCCAATCAATTACTGTTTTATCCTGGTGACAACTTTTGTCTTTAATATGAAACCATCAGTGTTTCACGATTTACACTATAAAAAAGATCAAGCCCCTGTGTTTAAAAATGTAACTAAGAACATGTATATGACATTCAAATAACTGAGACCAATAAAGATGTTATAAATTAGGCTGGGTGCAGTGCTCATGCCTGTAATCCCAGCACTTTGGGAGGCCACGGTATTCAGTTGAGATCGGAAATCAAAACCAGCCTGAGCTGAACCTAGTGACATCCTGTGTCTACACAAAAGAAATTTAAAAATTGGCCTGGTGTGGTGGCGCACACCTGTAGTGCTAAATACTTGGGAGGCTTAGGTGGGAGGATGGCTGGAGACCAGGAGTTTAAGATTACAGTGAGCTATGATCATGCCACTGCACTCCAGCCTGTGAGCAAGAACTGGTCTCAAACAAACAAACAAAAAAAGATGTTGTAAGGTGTTGAATCAACATGTGAGGCATGGTTACCTTCTTTATTGAAATTATTTTCATCAGCAAAGCTAAACTGTGTTTGCAGATCTAATTTACCCAAACGATATGCCTGTGCAGAGCTATTCTGTGATCAGAAAAACAGTCAATCTTTTAAGCTTCCATATTTATTTTGGGATAAAAATGGGGACCAAAATACAGAGACACACAAACACATACACACTGAGCATCTCTAGAGGCACATTACGGAACAGTGCTTATTAACGAGATGTCTTTGTGTGTCCTTCTGGGATCAAGATGGACTGGCCTCGTGTACAATTCTTCTCCTTCGTGAATAGAGCTGTAATGAGGTCACAGATTCCTTTCATGCCATTTTAGGAATTTCTTTGAAAGGATTCAGCAGCGATGTCCCTTATATGTTAGAGTTGTACATTAGTACAGGCAAAGCTTTTCAACCAATGTAAAGCACCATTTTTTTCTTCTAAATTCCTTCTATTCTCAAATGTCTGGGTTCAGAATAAAGGAAAATTAAAATCTCTGAAAAAGCCATCATTTTGCCACTACATGGAAGAGTTATTGGGAGATAAATTAATAGTATCTGAAATTAACCTTGGATTAAGCTTACTTCATCTTGAATGCTCTACTGCTTGTTTTATTTGCTATTAACTCCCTTTAATCAGAGAGTTTCTCTAAAACTGACATGCTATTGGTTAGGGATCATTAAAAAAAACTAATACAAAATATAAATATGCCCTCTGTTTATTATATGGCAGATACAACATGGACACTTGGTAATTTTGAGTTGATTAAGATTTGTATTATTTTATGTTAACACAACAAATGCTTCAAAAATATGTTTGTTAATGTCTACTTACTGTTACAGCAAAATTTTTTTAATCTGTTATTTCTCTGGCACCTTTTATTGACTTTTTGATTTTAATTGACACATAATAATTGCACACATTGATGTTTGGATACATGTGTACATTGTATAAAAACGTAATTAGGCTAGTTAACATATCACGTCACCTCATTTATTTGTTGTAAGAACATTCAACATCCTCTCTTCTAGCTACTTTGAAATAGACAATACAGTATTGTTAACCACAGTCACCCTACTGCGTTATAGAACATCAAGACTTATTCCCCCTGTTTAAGTGTTACTTTGTACCCATTGACCAATGTATTGACTTTTGGGTGTGATTATTTTGGAACAAAAGATGTATTCTCCCAACATCCTCAATGCTTAAGCCATATTAGACTTTAGTAAATATTTGTGGAATGAGTAAATGAATAATTCAAATCCAATGCATTTTTATTTTAAACACAAGCAGATGAAATTATACCAAAGCTAGGAAGTGACTTAACCAATGAACTAGATGTATGAAGTAATGAGCAATAAAGATGG